GCAGGTCTGCTGCCCCTCCCTGGGTCCTCTGACTGTCCTCTCCCTAAGGCAGCCTGACTGCCAACATCACAGAGAACGCTGCCTAGTGACCTTCCCACAAGTGGAATGGACTCCAGGGCCTGGAATTCCGAGTTGTTACGAGGCGAGGCTGGTCTACACCATGACATGTGGCCCGCACTGGCGCTATGTTTAGCTTGCTGCAGAGCTTCCTGTGCAGGGATCACCAGTCCACACGGGTCACGTCTTGGTCCACTCTTCTGCTCATGGCTGCACAGCCTGCTCGAAGCGCGGCAGTTCTCCTCGCCGGCTCACAACACGCCCGCCGGTGTCTCTTGATGGCTGGACCAGTTTTCTGCAGCTGCTGCAACAAATTACCAGAACCCAGGTGGCTTAAAGCACACGCTCATGTCTCACGGAGGCCCTAAAGCTGTCCCACTGCATAGAAAGCAGAGTGCAGGCAGAGCCATAATTCCTGCAGAGGCTCTGGGGAAGAATCCTTTCCTCCCCTCATCCAACTTCTTGCTGTAGTGAGTTCCTTAAGTCGTGGCTGCGTCGCTTAAGCTCTGCCTGTGTGGTCGCTTTTCCTCCTCCTCCTGTGTGCAGCCCCCTCTGCCTCTCACTAGGGGCTGAGCTCACGTTCCCCTCAGCATCACGGGGGCTGGGGTTGCCAGTAACAGCGCACATGCGTGTCTCACTGCAAAGTAACTTCCCGAGCTGCAGTAGAGACATACACCCCTTCAGCACCACGAGCTCCAGATGCTGTACACGTGCACCAGCTGCCTCCTCACCTGCCAGCTCCTGCCCTTCTGAGTCCCCAGCCTAGAGGACGTGCGGCAGCATCGCGTCCACCACTGCTCTGCATCTCCCAGGTAGCTAACGGAACTGAGCGCCTGTTCATCGACCCACTGGACATCGTGTGTGACTGTGTGTGTGTGTGTGTGTGAGTGTGTGTGTGTGTGTGTGTGTGTGTGTGTGTGTGTGAAGTCTTTCACCTCTGTTGCCATGAGATCGTGTGCCCCTTCTTGCTGACTGTACAGACCTCTATTGTATTTTCAATGGTGCTCTGTTAAGGTGATTTCACTTGGAGATGTGTCAGGAAGGCGGGAAGTTTCGGGGGTCAGGATCTATGATACAAGGTCCAGAACTGTCTAAGAAATCAGTTGAGATGAATTATAGATAATCAGCACCCAGAACGGACTCTGGGCCTCAGTCAGCCTAGCCCATGTCCAATAAAGAACGTGGAGGAGGACTGGGGGACCACTGCTAAGAACCCAGCAGGTAGACACACACCAGTCCCAAACTGATACATTCCAAAGTAGCACACGAGGTCCCCACTTACTTCCTGGAAATCAAAGTTAGCTTTACTTATGGGGTGGGCACAATAAACTTCTAATACTCTCTTACCTTTACTTACAGGCTAGGAGAATAAACTCAAATGCAAGACGTCTCAGGACTGTCCAGGCATGGCCACAGCTGACCGACCAAACACAACCATGACCCACCTCTAGAATAAGTGCCACACCTGAGGGCAGCAAGGTAGCGACACCACCACCAACAGAAGCAATAGCCAGCCTGTTTCTGGTGTGAAATGTTTCTGGTGTGAATGCCATCCAGCAATGGTTCCTCTAAGTCATGATAAAGGAACCAAGCAGACTGTGGCCATTGTCAGTGTAAACTGCAGTGTACTACAGGGCATCTGATCAGGACCAGGAAGACCACAGAAGGGCCCCACACAGACACCCCCGCCCACCCTACACTGCGTCCTCCTCTGCAAGTCATGAATCCTCAGAACGCCCATTGACTGCACATGGGGCAGCCAAGGCAGCATGACCAAGACCCCACTCAGCTCCAGCAGACCATGGCATGAGGGACCAGCACAGGCTCTGTGGGGGATCCCCACTGCCACCTCTGCCCTGAGCCAGAGAGGTGAAACAGCCTTGGCGCATCGCCAAGACACCGCACCACATCTCTACAAAACTGGGGTGCATAATGTCTGCATGATCAAGAGGTGTTTTCTAACCCATCAGCCCCCAGAGGAAGAGAGAATGCCTCATGCTTCCTGGGGTTAAACAGAAAAGGGGGACAGGAGCTTCAGGCACCTGTGCGTCCCCAGGCCACAGAGCTGAGATACCCTAATGTTACTCAGAGCTCTCCGTGCAGCAGAGGCCTCAGCAGCACGGCAAGGCTCAAGACATCTGACCCCAGCCGAAGCTCTGCCCTGCCCTGCCCTTCCTGAGCCCTGTGCCCAGGCCAGAAGCTGCTGTCCCTTCTCCCAAGACAGGGCTGGAACCTACCCAGCCAGGCTGAGAATGGGCTCAGGGTAGACAAGGAGGCCCACAGCTGCCAGGCCCCTCCGCACGTCTCTCCTACATGCCCCCTCCACAGACCCTGGCACCAGGCTTCCCTGTGTGCTAGGGCTAAGTCAGCAGCAGTGGAGCCGCACGGGTTAACTGCACAAGCAAATTAATAATGTGATGTATGGTCTGTCGTGGATTTTGTGTGCTTATAGAGAACAGGGGCAATTTAATCTAGAAAGCCTGTAACTCTAAAGTGTAAAAATGAAACACCCATGCTGGCGAGGCTGGACCTGGCAGCCACGGCCACCTACAGAACGAGGCGAGGAGGAGAAGGCTCCTACAGCCCACTCCCCACATCTGCACCAGCCCCCGGGAGGTCTGACGTCCCCACCGTGCCCCACACTGCGCCCTGTCCCCCGATCCTTGCCAAGGCCCTCTCCGCGCCCTCACTGCACTCTCAGTGCAGCTCTCAACACGCGGGTGGCAGGCCAGGGAGTCTGGCTGTGAAAGTACCATCGCAGAGCTCGATGGGGACCTGTGGATGGTGGATGTCCCCCACCCCGCTTGCTCCTGTGCACACAGGCTCACCCTCCCCCCATGCACCATCTCCAGCTCTTCACTAACCATGCGGTCCTGAAGCCAAAACCTGGGCCCCCTTGTGTCCAGGAAGCCCTAGGCAAGGCTAGCCCTTCTGCTCTGAAGGGGCACACACACCCACTTCCTAGGATGAAGCCCATAGCAGGCCCCCACATCCTGCTGCTCCCCGACCCCCTGAACCATGCTTCTCCAGGAGGCAGAGAACCCAAAGGGAGCCCTGCTGCCACCTCATATTCTCTGGGAGCCCCACCCCCTTCCCTCCTCCTGAATCCATTCAGCTCCAAAAACAGAGGAAAGATGAACCAGCACCTGCTGAAGAATACCTTTGAGCAGGTGGATGGATGGACAGACAGATGAATGAAACAGACTGATGGATGGATGGCTGGGACTCACAGCAAAAGGACTTAAAGGTATTGAAAGTGGAGGACTCCTGTCCCAGTTTTAGTATCACAGAGTGCCCAAGGAGCTCTTGAGAGGTGCTTGGCAGGAAGAGGGTCTCCTCTGTCTCCAATACTAGCTAGACCACCCTGAATGATGGACACAAGGCCAACACACAGAGTGAAGGCAGGGGCTCCCACGGCCAGGGCCAGGAATGAAGCCGTTCAGGACCCCCCAGTGCAATGCAAGGCAGAGGCAACACTCCCTCTGGGTGCAGCGAATCAAATGCAGCGGCACCAGTCATCTCTGCTGATTAAGCACAGACCCTCCTGTGATCAAGAAGAAAGTCATTATTTAATAAAATGCAATTAATTTGGAAGCTAAAATCTGTTAAAGCCCAAGGGAATGTCAAGAGCAAGCGTTTCCAACCCAAAATAGCACAAAGACGGGCCCCCGGGGAGCCACAGGCAGACCATGCTTTCAACGTGCAACACTGTGGCACACTTCGCTGTAGCTGCCTGGTCCCTGGCACTGGAGGGGCGCGGGAAGCCCCTGGGCACTTGCGCACAAAGTGAGGCACATCTCACAGGGGCTGTGGGCTTGAAAACCCAACTGAACCCACTCCCTGAAGAAACAGCTACGAACATAACCAAGTCAGTGCCGCCTCAGGAGCTCAGGATCCAGCAGACGGGGGTATTGGGACCAGTGTCCAGATTCAGTCCATCCATCAATCAGCTGGCAGCTTTCACGGGGACCAACCAGAACCGAGACCAGCCAGAGAGCCTGAGGTGATGCGAGGTGTCTGAGAATACAGCGGGCAAGCTGAAGAGAAGACACAACACAAAACACAGGTGCGTGCACACACCCTCACAGGTGACCGCGCTAACCGAGCACTCTGCTTTATCGTAGCATCTCATTCCACCCGCGCAGTGATCCAGCAAGGAAGGAGGCCAGACTCGGCTAAGGCTGAGTCAAGCCAAACTTGAGGCAGCAGCGCTCTATAGCTGGCCAGTGGTGGAGGCCCACACCGCCTGGCTGGGGTTCCCAGCTCCTAACAGAAGCCCTTGCTCTGCTCCACCCCGTCCACAGCAACTGTCACCAGCTCAAGATGATACAGACAGATGTTGGAGCACATGGCTCACTTATCACACCAAAGACAGAGCAACATAAACTGGGTTTTGTCTGAACAATGCACTCTTACTGTCAGGGAGACCTGAGAATTCTATCAGCTCTAAATGCATGCATTCATTCAATTAATGCTTCTCTTGATTTTAAAACAATGGATTTTTCCAAGAAAACTGATAAGCAGACCAACTAGGGGAAACCAAGAACTATACACATTTTTTACAATTAACAATGCATGCAGCAGTTCAGAGAAAGTCCTATTTAGAGCTGACTTGCTGGGAAATCAATTCCAAAGATGCAAAACCAGCTAAACGGAAAAATAATAATAATACATGCATGCACACATGCCAACTGAAAACTCTAAATGCCAATATTTCTCTCCTACCCACTGCTTACTCATTCAAGTTGGTTCAGAATAAGTGGCTGAGTGGTTCAAAATCAAGCATCTCTCAGCACAGTTGATTCCAGGAACAGGAATTGAAACATTCCGCATTTCTTCCAAGGGCAAAAAAGAAAATACCTAGGGACCCACCCACAGTGGCACCTGTGTTCCTGGGAGGCATCCCAAGTCTTCTCCCCACCTGTGTGAAGAGCCCCGTTTACCTGCAGCACTTCTTCACCTCTCCAGTTAGTAGGCATCAGATTCTCTTGGCACCATGAAAATGAGCCCTGGCACAGGCTGCACGAGGATCGTAAGTCCTAGTCACAGGCATCCTGTTTAAAAACAAACACAATCTAAAAGGGGCCCCTGGGGCACAGGGTGAGAGCACACCTTCCACTCTTTCCCGCTCAGGCCCACAGGTCAGCACTGGCGTGTGACAGTACCATGCCCTGGGCAGTCACAGGTGCGTGGTCCCCAGCCTGCATGCTGAGAAGGTAACACAAGGCCAGCCTCTTGGGTTGGGTGAAAAGTTGTTCAAGATAGCAAACATGGAAAAACCGAACTCAACACACAAACCTGCCCAACAGGAGGTGTTTAATTCAAATGATTCCTCTACTGAAAACCATCTTTGCATGCCTGAGCACTTCAGGTCCAACAGGATCAAAATAGTTATGCAGTCAGTCAATAAAAGAATCTCAGCCACATACTTTTCCTCTCTTGGCTTTGATCCATTCAACACAACGGAGGACCTTACACTGGAATACCACTTTCGAGTTTAGGAGGCACCTATACCTGTTACTGAACTTTAGTTGTAATCCACAAACCTGACGCTTAGAGCTCCCAGCAAAACGGGAGAAGCCACAGCGGGCCCAAGGCCACACTGAGCCCACAGAGCCCTTGCTAGTACAACACCTTGCACCAGTTCAATACTGAATTTCATTCGTGCCTCACAAAAACCTCAAGTGAAAAGCACAATGCACGTACTACACATCCTGCAAAAGCCTCCCAAGGCCAGGCACCTGCAGGAGGCCCCAAGGATTAGCAGCACAGCCAGGTCGGAACTGCACTCTTGTGGTTTCAAAGCCTGCCATACCTTCCTGCCCCACTCTGACTTCCCCCTAAGCCCGAGGGCCTCAGCCAGCCAGGCCAGAACCCAGGCAACACAAAGCCAGGCATGACCAGGCTTCTGGGGAGGAAAGCTAGAGCCAACAAAGCCAGGCAGGGTGGCTGGGAGCCTGAGTCCTGGGTCTGGCATGGAGCATGAGTTTAGAAATGTGCAGTGGGGAGGGAGGGAGCCGAGGCGGGACGTGCTTCCTTCACAAGGCACTGGCATCAGAAGCAACCAGAGCGAGAAAGCAGGCGGGCTGACTGGCAGCAGAGCCTGCCCAACAGCAGATAATCCAAACCACCAAAGGGGAACTGCAGCACAGAAACAGACTGTCCACTCTGCACTGGATCAGCTTTCTGGCTGTGCTGCTCTCTGGCCTCCGCAAGACTGGCTCTCACTGTCCAGTTCTGCCACCAGGGCCTGCCCACCCAAGAGCGTGAGGCTCTCTGCTTGGTTCTGGGAAGAATCCAAATGCGATGCAGCTCTGGATCTTGGAGAGAAGAGGAGTGGGGGACCAAGCAGGTGCTGAAGGAAGAAGGATGCTCCTGCGTTTCACTCCTTCATTCACCCAGCCAGCCAACAACAGCACTGAGGATCCACCGTGTGCCAGGCACTATTCCAGCTCCAGGAACAGAGGTGAACAAAGTCTTCACACTGAGCAGTGGGAGATAAACAATAAACAAACAAGTACTGTATATAAATAACACACTGCACACCAAGTACAAAGGAGAAGCACAAAGCAGGGTTAATAAGAAAGAAAGCACAATGCTAATTTATGGAGAGTGATCAGGGAGCTGGCAGATAAGCAGAGCTGAAACAAGGAAGGGAGAGGCCCAGGTGGACATCTGGGGAGGCTCAGGCTGGGGACAGGAATGAAGTCCTGAGACAGAAGCCAGCCAGTCCAAAGTTTAGATCAGGGAGAAGAGGAACAGAGCCCATGCTCAGCTGAGATCATCAAGCCAAGGTGGCAGGTGAGGATGGCCTGGGGACAAATCTGGGCAGCACGCACATCCTCCTCAGCCTGTTGGGGCAAGCCTTGCACAAGAGAAGAGGAACCTGAAAGAGTCAGGCCGAGGAATGCGGGTGCTGGTGTGTGAGCTGGGGAGCCATGGGGGCCTGAGCCCTGGAGAATGGCTGGCAAGGGTCCAACCTGCCCTGTGGCCCAACCCTGGGAAACCCCACAGCTGGCACAGAAGACACGATCCACATGGCAGTGCCACCCCACTGACAGGTAGGGTTCCACAGAGAACAGGTCAGCGTGACCTTGAGGACACTGTCCTCCAGGACTTCCTTGAATGTCTGGACAGGGACAGAGGGGAGGACCAGCTGCAGGAGAGGAGACAGTACCCACGACAGCTGACTCAGCCTGTGCCAGCAAGCTGCCCAGCCGCTCCAGCTGGCCCCGACCCAGGTGATGGGCAGGAACTCAAGGAAGGGGACAGTCAAAGAATCCTCCCTTGTGCTTCTGGTCCAGCCACCATACAAGGGACACATGAACCCCTGCCCCATGCCCACGCTGCCTCCCACAAGCAGTCATCGCCAGCATGACCTGAGGGATGCCCATCTTCGGGTCAGACCTCCACCCCAATTCTCCTGGCCACTAGGGAAGTGCCCAGAGCAGTGAGTGAGAGCCCCAGCCTGAAAGGCTGTAGCCCGACTGCCAGCCATGCCCTGAGTGCTCTCCACTTCTCTAGGGACCAGACTGCAGTGCCAGGCATGCAGGTGTCTGCCACCTGCTCAGGAACGCCCTCAAAGCTAGCCAGGGATAAGTTCAGGCATCCCTGCCCATCCTCATGGACTCCCCAGATGACAAAGGTTTCTTCAAGACTTGAGGCCACAGCATCACAAGAGTCTGCACCTGTTGAGTCTCCAGGCAGGTGTTCAGGGCAGGAGCAAAGGAGGGATGGCAGGGAGAAGCCGAGGCCAGGACGGGGTGACTGTGTCAGGCCCTGCCACCACTGTGTCCCCTCACTGACCACTACCCAATGCAGACAAAGCCCAGCCCATTGCAAACCTCAATGCCAAATGTGTTTTTCCTCTAGTTCCTCAGTTTTGTCTAGGAAAAGTCGAGGTGTTTTTAGCACTCCCTCTCAGCTTACAGGGGTGCGACCGGTGTCTTTTATCTCTTATTTTTATCCAGCCAGTCTTAGCTCAGTTGGCAAATTGCATATTTATGCACCTCCATTTCACAATCTGTCCTCACCAATTATTCCTGTGAAACTAATATTTTACTTTAAAAAGAAAGGGGTTAGAAAGCCTCAAGGGACCATTATGCAAACAAGTGAACATGCCACAGCTTGGGCCTGAGGGGCCCCAGAAAGCAAGGTGGGTGAGAAGTTGAAGCTCCTTGCAGCGCCCACCCACCTTTCACCCACACATTTGATTCTGCCTGCCCTTCCTCCAGCCCAGGAGTCCAGCTCCCAGAAATGCTAAAGCAGGCCACACCCCCAACACAAGACAGAGGGCACCAGGGGTGGCCCTTCACTGGAGCCATCACTCAAACGCACCCCAGCTCCGGAGCCCACAGGAAGGGCCTCCTTACCAGAGCGGATGGTGCCCACCACTGGTGACAGGCTGTGAGCACAGAGGGCTGGCAGCGACCCAGTTCCAACTCGTCCACTACCTTCTTGAACACCGCTGCAAGTCCCAGCCGCTTCCAAGTCCATGTGACTCCTGCCCACCCATTAGACCTAAACTCAGGGACCCCCTCCAGCCTGGGCTGCAAATGGAGGCAGCTCCTATGGCCTAACACCCAGCTGTGAGGGTACAGGCAAGACATCCCAGCAGCCCAGGGCTGTGTCCCCTGCTTGGTGGCCGGTGCTCATACAAGGTCCTGCCTGGCCTCAATGGAAGGACCAGAGGAAGGTCACTCACAGGCTCTTGACACCTACAGCGATGTACTCGAGAAAAGCTGCCCACTTGGACCCTCCAAGCTTTCCGATCTGAATTTCTGAAATCACTGTCCTTTCTCAAAAGTGTGTGGGGATGCTCAAGAAAGGGAGCAGGAGGCCCAAGAGGCCAGGGACAGATGAACCGGAGATGAAATGCAAGACCCCAGGTTCAGGGAGCTTCATCCTCCCAGGGCTCATTTGTGAGCTGACTAGGTTTCACCACAGGTTTAAGTCTGGCTTCAGGGAAGAGATGGGAAACGAAAGTCTTCTTTCTGCAAGTAAATGCCAAGTTAAGACTGCCAGGCTCCATGGAAGGTTCTGCAGCGTGGCCCTCCGAGGACACCCTCTGTCCATCCCTGCGCCCCAGCCCCAAGGAAGTTCATCCCCAGCCTTGGCACACAGAGGCCTGCCGCACACTGTCCGGCGTGGAGCGCTGTTGGATGACAGAGGACCAGGGCTCACGGTCATCCACTGAGGCCAAACACCCTGTCCGGAGCCTTGCTGGGCTATGCCTGCCTCAGGGGGTCAGGCCGAGGGTCACATCCGCGCCGCGCCCCCAGGCCCTAGCCAGCAACCCGGGGGAAAACGGGAATGGAATTTTTAATTGAGTTTTCCCCCAGAGCCTCATTATAAAGGGAAAGGGGAGGGGGCGAGGAATGGAGCTCGGTGCTCAGAAGGCAGAGAACCAGGGAGCGACCCCAAACTCGGGAGTTGCCGACCCGCACGGGGACTTCGTGCCAGCGCCCAGCGGGGCCGCGGAACGCGCTGGCAACCCGGCCACCTGGCGGACCTGAACCCGCAGCCTCTGCCGCCCAGCGCCTCAGCCCGGCCGGGTCGCCTCCCGACGTGGTGCCCTAGCCCTAGACAAGCCAGCAGCTCGGATCCTCGCCGCGCCGCGCCGCCGCCGGGCCGTGGGGTGGGGGCTGGGACAGGGCGGCGGAGTGCGCGGGGTGGCCGGTCCGCACCCCGACTCCAGGATCGCCGCG